GGGTACCGGACTTCTTCATCGATGGTAGACTGTCGAGAGAGGCGGCTGCCAAGATACGGAAAGTGCTCCACATACTTCATAGCCTCCCCGGCTATGTAGATAGTGCGAGGGATGTTCAGGTGGCCTGGGGAGGGTTGGTGGAAAACCTTCGTCTTGGCGACATTCAAGGACAGGCCAAGTCTCTTCTATGAAGCATTGAAGAGATCTAGGGTCACATTAAGACTCTCGAGAGCTTTCGCCAACGGTGCTTGCATTGAATCCTGGGGATCAAATGGGATGACCGCCGGACCAGCGTGAGTGTCCTCCATGAAGCCGCGTCCACCAGCATCGAAGCCTTGCTCTTGAGAAATCAGCTCCGATGGACGGGCCACTGCGTCCCGATGGCCAAGAAGCGCCTCCCTCGCCAGATTCTCCTTTCCCAGCTCTCCGTTGGCCAACGCTTAAAGGGCGGCCAAAGGAAACGGTACAAAGACATACTCAAGGTCGCTCTCAAGCACAGAGGTGTCTACACCAACGGCTGGGAGGAGCAAGCTGGTGACCGTTTGGCGTGGCGCCACCTGGTCCACCACGGCACGCGCCACTTTGAGGCCCAACAACGGCAGTGGAGGAGGGAGGAGGAGGAGACCAGCCCGCGGCTGTGATTCCCACTCCCCTGCGCAACAACGTGCCCCCACTGCCAAAGAAAGCGTGCATCCAGAGTCAGGCTCCTCAGTCACCTGAGGACCCATCAAGTCATCCTCGACTTCGAAGGACCGCCGACGTACATAAGGTAACGCTGAGGCAAGTCCAGAAAAGTGTTTCCCCGGGGGTATGCTATGCAAGCGGCTTCCCTTAACATGGGGTTACTGCCTTGCATTTCATACTGTGCAGTTCTTTCACGTGCACATCTTGGTTCCTTCTCCCCATTGCCGGAAACCCAAATAGCGTGCTGCTCTTCTACCTTCATTAACAACAAACCAAATCACAACTTTCTTACTTGGCAACCCAACTCTTTCCCTTGGAAATGGAGGGGAATTGTGTCGGGATTGGTCCCTTGTACTCCTTTCCTAGAAGCAAAGCATGCAGCAATCATACAAGATGCCGAGCCCCTCCGATCTGGGAACTGAGCTCATTCAGTCGGCACAGGATCAAGCTTTTGCTGAAACCAGTGGGAGATTACCATGGGAAAGGTTTTCACACTGACTTAAACAGGACAGCCTCCGAAAGTAGGCCCAGTAACCATGTTTTTAGTCCCTTCCTGTGTGTCAACTATCAGTTAATTTATGAATAAAGCTCCAGAAGACTAATCCAGCCCAGTGCAATTAGTTTATTGATTAGGACTGTGAGAGCTGATAATAACTAATAACAATAAAGTGCACAATGCAGCACCAAATCTTGGTCTGCTAAAAGCTGCAGAGCATTTTTCTGGAGCCGGCTTCATATACCTCCTTTACAGCGGGTACGCAAATTAACTACACCGTCTTATACAATTAACTCAAATCATATGGGCTTATCTCAGGAGGTACCCCAAAATACCCCAGTATTAGGCAAAAAAAATTATATTACCAGTAACCATCTTACACAATTAATTCAAATCATATGGGCTTATCTCCAGAGGTACCCCAAAATACCCCAGTATTGGGCAAAAAAATTCATTTTACCAGTAACCACCTCATAACTCAAAGAGGAAGCAGTACAGAGGAATTAAACCCTTACCAGAGCAATCCTAACAAAGATAACGAGGTTACCAAGTTCCTACCAAGCATAGCTGGATTGCTAGGGCCTTAATATCACTCACAAAGCATTATGGGAGCTTGGCGAAGTCCCTAAAATAACTCTAAAATAATCTTTTCCTAATAAACACACAAATTAAAATACAGACCTAAATAATATCTTACATCAACACAGAGATGTAAAATAGAGAGGAGTTAAACTAAGACCTGCAATCTGCAGATGGTACATGAGTGGTCTTGACTTAAATACCCTTTTTATGCATGTCATTACTTATAATTTCATATCAGCATTAGGACTTAATTTGCCAGGGAGAGCTCTTCCAAATCCTGCCTCCCAGCGTGCCAAAAGCATACAACCATTTATTTTTCAATCTCCTCCAAATATTCACCTGCCAAAATGACTCCAGCAAACATTAGCAATGATCGTGTGCGGCGTCACGTGATGCAACTCCTCTCCATCTTCATAAATTAATTAGGAATAACTGTCCTGCCCCAAACGGTCCATTTTCCATGCCCAAACCGCCTTTCTATCGCAGCTTTCCATTAGCTGCATCTGAAATCTTAGCAGCAGGCTAGTGAAGGGTTTTGACCGCATGCATTATATAATTGATTGGTTTCTGGTCCAGCCAGGAGGCTGGCAATCAAACCAATAATTCAAAATCAGCGAAGAGACCCCAGCCGAGGGCTATGGCTGCATGTGCTGTCTACCTTCTCCTACTCTTACCTCTGCAATGCTTATCTTCATTACTCAGGAGAGCAAGGGTGATTGATCAGAGCCAAATTATCCCCTCCTATTAGTTGCTAGTTAACTAAACCAAGTTGTTTAATGCTTAATGCAAAATTAGCTAATATAAAAAGAAAAGCAAAAAAAAAGAAAGTTACCTGATCATTTAAACTGTGAAATTCTGAGCCAACGACACAGCTTTTCCCACCGAGCCAACTACAGAGACAAGTGGCCATGCAGTCCTGGCATGGATGCCTTCCTTCCCGCGGCATCGGAGACCCGTCTCCGGTCAGGAGCTTCCTTGGCTCATCCGACGCTTAAACACAGAGTCACACCGGAAAATGCGCGGTGCAACAAACAGCAAGAGGAGCAGCCAACACCTGAACTCCCCTGAATTATATAACAATGGAAGTCAACACTTCCCGAGCTGTAAATCCACTCAAGCTGCGACAGTTTTTAAACTAGTCATTTGCAAATCTCATGAAGCGAGCTGCCAAGTGAAATTTTCAGTGATTCAGATTGTCACCCGTTCAGATGAATGGGCTCTGAAAAGCTGTAAGATGTTAGAAAAAGAAAAACACAATGGGTAATCGCAGGAATATGCAAGAAACAGCTGAGCCTTATTTCACTCTTGAGGACTTTACTGACATATGCAGCTTCTGCGGAAGCCGAAATGTCAACACAACAGCGGCTTTCAAAAGGAAATGTCGGTCATATCCTCAAGCCGGCCATTCATTTTGGGTTAGCGACATTACAAACCCCAGCCTAAATTTTCAGAAGCACTCAGCAAATCCAGAGACCGCTGACTTCAGCCGAAGTTTATGAGACTCAATTTGGGGGAAATTTAAGTGCAATACATCTCAATAGCCGGGCGCCCAAAAATCGAGACCGCCCAAGTTAAAAGCGACATTGTTAAACCATTGTGCTACCTTCCCTCGACCCAAAGAGCAATCTTCTCTGCTGAAGGAGCTGCACGACGGTTAGTAAGAAAGGCTCCCATTTCCAAGCACTGTGTATAGAGCAATTTTCTCCCCAAAATGCAAAGTTCGGCAGTGCTTTCCAAGGATACCCAAAAGCAGCAGCTAACGTTCATCTGACTCTGCCGTTCTCACCTGTCTTTTTACCTGGCATTTGTCGAGAGCCGACCCCACAAGGCTTACATCCCTTCCTTCTGCTGGTGCTTGGGAGTGTTAAAATACACGCAACAAAGGCATATAAAATGCTGGGGTGGGCGGCCCTGTGAGGGCCCAGAAAAAAGAATCGGTTCCTCCAGCATGTTTTGGGAATGACCATTGAGGAACCTATTCTTTTTCTGGGCTGATTTTTCGCTCCAAAACTTTAACTCCGATTTTTCCTTCTCCCTTTATTAAAGCATGTGTCGCACAGTAATTTGTTTCAGGAACATCTCGGCATGCATTACCCTTACACCCTGACCCACGCCCAACAGCCAGGGTAGTTAACTGTAGTACTAATATTTTGGTACTGTACTGCTCTCCGAGCACTTCAGAAGCGAGTCCAATATCATTATTCCCATTTGCCAGGTGGGAAAACTAAGACACAATGAGGGATGGTAATTTTCCCAAAGATTACTCAGCCGGTGAGTAGCAGAACAAAGGATCAAAACCCAGGTCTTCAGAGAGCCGGCCAAAATATCGCAGCGTATTATTTATAAGCGGGGAGCTTCCTACAGAACGTGGAAACACGACTGACGCTAACCACTAATATAACATGTTACCGTTCAAAATTACACAAGCAAAGAGGAGCACAATTTGTTTGCCAAACCTGTATAAATGGAAGAAATTAAGCATAGCTGTTCTCTCTCTCTGTCGAAATCCAGCAGTGTCCCCAGCGCTAAACTAAAATTTGATTCATTTTATATGCTGGGAAAGTGCCAAACTCCGCAGGTCGCCTGCCCCGCCATAATCCCACACCCTCGCCCTACCTCCTTCCATAGTCTCTGCACCTGTGTGTTTTATTACACTTGCACCCAACTATTAATTAGCCACGTTTTGGCTGCCAGCTGGCACCACCTCCGAGAGGCACATCCTTGCAGTGCTGCAGTCTTGATTGAAAGCTGTCTGCTTCTCTTTGGCTTTCAATTGATCTAGTCTCTCTAACCCACTGTCAGCTATTTTAAATTAAGGATCCCATGGGAAAACAATTAGCTTCGGGTTGGCTCTACGATCCTTACTTTTAGGCAGGATATTTGGAAACACGGGGCATTCAACACTTCACAATCTTTACTTTAGAAACGTCAATACATTTGTCTGCTCTGCGCGGTACCTTATTGGGACGTATTCCTTCCAAGTTTCCTTGCAGCTCTTAGTGCAGCACGTGTTACTCTTACAGGCACACATCCTTTCCTGTGTCACCACTTCAGGTCATTAGCCTTGTCTGGACAAGTAGAATAAGGTCCAGCTAGCCGATATGTTGGCTAACGTACTTCTAAATACAGCTTTGTAGCTCAGGCTGCAAACACGGTGGTGTTTAAAACTGTGGTATATGGTCACAACCAGTGCTGGGGCCACTGACTAAGATGGTTTGAGCTACACACATTTACTAACCTCATCTTTTCATCGCCAGAGTGCTACTTTGCCATGATGAGGTCCTTCCCCTTGACCTACATGGCTCACCTACATCTGTTCTTAGCACAAAACGCACTTCATGTTTGTCATGCTGGATGTATCGCAGAGCCGCTGGGTCACTCTCTGCCTTGCTTTCAGCTGCACCTGTAAAAAAAACCAAAAAACCAAAAAAACCTTCTCTTTTGTTCCTTCTTCAAAGGATTCTGCACTCAGTCTCCAGTGGATTTTCTCTCTGTTGCGTTTCCGGCATATTAAAAGAAAAGCATCTCCTACGAAGATGAAAGCCATAAGGCCTCTCAATTTTTATGCTTCCAGGTGTAAGCTGATTACTAGTTTGAATCTATTAGCTGCCTTCAACAGCCAATCAAACCTTCCTATCCAGTGGCTCAATTAGCTTCCCTTGTTTCTTTCGGACAGACCTCAACGGGATGCAACGTGAAGCTCTCCCCTACAGTGCCTTACCTGGCTGGACTTTGTCCTATCTCTTATCCAACATCGGCGTCAGGCCACAAGAAGAACGAGTGCAATAGTAAGGGCTGAAATGGCATCCTGCGTGCCGATGGCATCGGGATCTGTATTCCTCGAAGGCCAATATAACTCAGGATATAAGAGGGTATTACCTTGTATCGGCTGCTGGACAGTAGCGGTCTACATGCACGCTCTCACCCCATGGGAGACTCAAGGCAACTCACAGCACCCAAGGGAAAAACCAACTTTCCAACAACCCAAGATAAGTGTTTGGCCAAAAGCAGCCACACAAAACCTGACAAGACTGAGCTAAAGACAGCAGCTATTTTTGAAGTCTATGCAGTATGTTTTCCTCCAGTGTTTGTACTTTAGACCTGCCAGATGTAAATTCAGACAACTAACTCTACAGCAAGACAAAAGTCTTTCTAGGACCAGCTCAATTCAAATCCTCCAGCCTAATGGAGTAACAGTAAATGGCTAAATTACAGTAAATGAACAGTAAATGGGTGTTAAATGTTGCTCTTACAAAAAACAGAGGTTTGAGCAACATCCTGCCCATCCTCCACCTGCTCAATGAGCAGCTGGGGAGAAATGCCATCCCTTGGTCACAGGGGAAGTGACCCAAAGCAGACAAGAGGCGAGTCATAGGAGGCACCGTTGAGATGGAGCAGGGGCACTTGCAGGATGGACGTCCCTACCGCAGGGCCGACGTTAAAAATAAGCACCAGTTTTAGGGGTGCACGTGGTAGCCGTGTTGGTCTGAGACAAGACGACATTCAAAAAACGAGAACTCTTGGTTCCAGAATGATACCTTTTATTAAACCAACTGGGAAATTTTCTTGAGACTTCCCAGTTGGTCTAATAAAAAGTACCATTTTGCAACCAAGAGTTCTCGTTTTTTGTATGAGCACCAGTTTTAGGCACTTCTCTTGACCATAAATGTCTTTAAATAAAGATTGAGGGTCTTTTGGGAAAAAAAAGCAAGCCATGGGCTCAAAGCTGGAATCATTTGGCCTGTGTTATACAGGGTGCCGCAACGGTATCGCTCTGGGTTTAAATGAAAAAAAAATCTAAGCGCTTATCTGGCCCGAATCACTAATGCAGAGAAACTCTGCAAAATCTGTCAGAGCTCTATGGAAATCTACTTCTGTGCAGGAGGTAATTACAGTTTGAGGACAGAATGGATAATCTGGTGAACTCTTACCACGAGGAGAGCTCTGGGCAATAAATCGACTTCAGGTGTCTCTATCGCTGTAGTAGCAGGTTTCGGCGGTATCTAGCAGCTGTCTCTCAGGTGCACGAGCAAAATCTCCAGCCTCTCATGCAAAGCAAATGATGACGGCTCATCCTGATGCTTCTTCAGATAGCTTGTGAGCTTGCCCTGAGATATGTTTTGAACACTTCAGATCTGGTGGTTTCAGTTCAGTTCCCGGTGCAGTCCCAAAGCTACCCTGCCATGAGAAGTTGGACATTCAGGATACAATCTCTCTCGTGCCATCCTTCCCTACTCCTCGCACTCCCTCTCCTATCTCCTAACGCATGTCAAGCCTTCACCGTCATGACCGTACGCTGGGATCAAATAAGGAGGCACGCGTGGTGCTCCTGTGTCGCTGTTTCCTCCCCATTTCAAGCTGGCGTCATGCCATGCCATGCCAACAGACAGACATGAGTTCAGCTATCTAAAAACCACGTACTTGGTGAGGACAGGATGCCAAGTCAACACCTCCTCTTATCTATACGGGATGCAGCACATTGGATGGGAAGGGCCCCCAAAACGCCTGATGCATTAGTTGGCTTTGTTTTCAGATGACCCACATCCCTGATCCCTTCTGAGAAGACCGCAACAGCAATATCCCTTTATTCTGTAGTGGTGGGTGGACAGTACACTTCAGAGCTAACTACTTAAAAAATGAGCCTAAATGGAAAGCATTTTCAGAATGCAAATGCCTTCTGCAGCAAACACATCTCCTCCCATAATAATTCGTGTCACGCAGAAGTATTTAATCCGGGATAGAGCACCTAGCGGCAGACGCTGCTGCTCTTGTTCTTCTCGGAAACAGATAATGTGTTTTTATATGGTTTCAGCATCCCGTCTTAGTTAGCCCCGTAAGTAGTAAAGTGCATCTTTAAGTAAAATGATTTATTGGCAATTCCTAGAGACTCACCGCCTCGGACTGAACAGAGTTTATCGCTGAAATGCAGACAGTAAAAGAAATTACTCAGAAAAATCTTCCTTTCCCACAAGTCACGCGATGGATATTTTTTCAGCCCAATTTTTTTATCGCTCTTCTTTCATGTAGGAATGTTACATGCCACACAAATGGAGCCTAATTTTTCCTTAAAAAAAAACAATTCTGATTCCGTACCATGCTCCTTACATGCCTTCTGCATGTATTTCCCTAACCTGCAGGACGGATGAGCAGAGCATTACAAACCCTTCACATTTTAACACTATTATTTAATGTAGCAATACATTTATCTCCAAAGACAAAAAAGCTGCCCAAACCTATGATTTCAGCAGAGGGCAGGTAGAGAAAGAGAGAGAGACACAGAGATCAAGCATGAGTCGCACCGACAGGATAAACCCAGCAAAGCATTAACACTCGCAATGGCTGCCTTCGAGCACTTGCAGCCATGGAGAGCCAGAGCCATCATCCTTCTTAATCAGGGCAAATAAAATAATAATTAAAAAAAACCCACCAAAGTCCTGCTTGCTCTAGATTAATTAAGCCTTTAATTAAGCAATAACCCTGGACAGATCATTGCTATGAGCAATAAATGACCAGTTTGCAATCCAATGTTTGCTGGGGCTGTAAGTGTTCATCACACCCTTTTCTCCAGCAAGAAAATAATCCAATGTATTGCAAAGAAGTTGCTGGCATGATGACATATATGGAGCAATTTTTTTCCTGCAGGAGGAGCAGTTAATGGGAGAGAAATGACCAGGGCTGGCACTGGGATGTAGTAATGGCTCACAGCTTTTTCCATATTCAAACCCCCTTCTGATTCAGTAGGAGAGGAGTGGCGGAGTGGCTCCGTCCCCTGACTCCTCTCCCAAAGCCTGAGTGAAGGTCTCCGTCCTCAGGTCACTCCTCTCTTTCACCCCTTATTTTACCCAAAGCCCAAGCACCACCCTCCCAAGCAGCCTGGCAATATGAAAATGGGTTTATCAGCTAAAAGCATGCATTTGTTTGCTGGAAGAAGCTGGAAGTGACTCTTTGAATTGCTGAACAGCAGTTTCAATTAACAGGTCTATTTTCCCCATCTATGGGCAGAGGATTTGCTTGTGTAACTCCCATTAATGCTAATAGAGTTAGGCTTATAAATCCCGACACATGATGGAATATTCAAGCTCTCACAGTTGTGTGCTCTTAGACCAGAGCAATTTGTGTTGCTTTATTTTCACCTCTGCCTGCTTTCCACTGTCTCGGGAGCTTTCGACGCAAATGGAAAAGCCTGCTGGCATTCTCCTGTTAAAACCCCACGCTTGCTTTCCTACCGTCGTGGGGAAAAGGACCCCGACTGCGCAATGATAAGCAGAGGCGATGTCCAGGCCACCTCCGCAGCTCTCTTGGCACCGCTGCTGAGGACAGCCCTGCCCACGAGCTCTCTCTCTGCATGCTAAGGTTGCCCATCAAATAGCACCGATGAGCCCAACGCACCCCGCACGACACCTTCCCCACAAGATCCCAAGTGCCCGGCTCTCTTAGGCTGCTTTTAAAAACCCAGCCATAGGCACCAGCATGGAGAGATCACCGGGCCCAACTCACCTCACTCTGATGCTGGACTGATTTCCTTCAAGCCAATTCAGTCGGGCTACCGCAGCGTCGATAAAAGCAGAGAATCAAGCCCGCTATGTACTCCATGTGGCTACAGGCAAAGGGAGAGCAGGGCAGCTGAATAACACCTGCTGGAGGCCAGTTTATTCAACACGAGATAATGCTTTAGCCTAAAGAGAGTCTCTGGCAAATGCATTTATTATTGCTATTCCACCATGTTCTCAACCTTCCCCCCACACAACATTGTTTTTCCAACAACTTCCTACAGCCGCTCTGCTCTGCGAGCAGACTACAGCTTCCCTTCCCAACCGCTCAGCTTGGGCGTGTGTTGTTGCTGGCGAAGTGAGAAAAGAAAAATTCCTCATGCTGTTTGCAAACCCCAGCCCCTCTGAAACGATCTCTCCCTGCTGCAGATCAGCAACCGGTGCACAACACGCCTAACACAACACCCAGGACCCAATATTCTTCCAGGCACAAAAAGGAGGCAAGTCGCTTTATGCCAAGAGGTGGAGTGGCACTACCACCGGGGACTGAATCTGCCTTCCCTCGCCAGGATGCAGCAACACTTGGGAAGCTCCTTCACAGCGGGCGCGTCTACACGTGTGCAATTACTGTGCACACGTCTACACGTGCACGCCTGTGCTGTGCAGCAAATATGGTGACTTGTACCAACCATCCAGAAAGAGCACCAGAAGCCTCCCACCCACGGATGGTAACAGCTGGACGTGTCTACACATGCGTTTACGCTGGCTTAAATTTACTGCACAGTAAGCTACTGCGCATTAAGCAAGATTAGGCTGGTGTCTACACATGCAGTCATTATTAAAGCACATTAACGCTGTGTGTGGACTGACTTGGGACTAACGTTAGACCCAAGTCAGTCCACACACACAGTGTTACTGCGCAGTAAGGTGTCTACACGTGCCTTACTGCTCAGTAACTAATCAGCCGTAGATTTGATACCGGCATGATGCAGGTATCAAATTTACACCCTGACCATCGTTTCTACCACTGCCTGGGATCTTGTAGGTCATGAAGGGAGAAGGGTCCCCCCCAGGGTCTACCATGAGAAGGGTGACCTTTGCTATAACTCAGTCACCAAAGAATTTCAGCTGTCGTGTGCCTTGAAATTAAAATCTGGAAGTTTGGAGGGGGCTGAGCCATCCATTTGAAGTCATGTCATGGGCATGACAGGCAGCCTGTCTCACATTTAGATCACAAGTGCCATGCTGTTCGCCGACAATTTGTCATAACACTGTCTTGACTATTCAGGCCTTTCTTTTAAAACCTCTCATGTGCTAATCACTGCCTACAGGTGTTGTGAATCCTTTTAACTACTGGGGTGCGATTCAATGAACTGAGGATCACATGATTTCTCTCTTTAATATATATGTTAAGGCAACAGAAGCTGCAGCTGAAACCGCTTCTGTGAAGGCAGATCCGAGTCCGTGCTCAGCTCCAACAGCTGCTGGGGACAGAAATGCAAGTTTATCACCCCATTTGCCCCCCAGAAGCTGAAATGAGACAGAGACTCCAAGCAAGGCGTAAGGAAAGCCCACCTCTACAGCATAGCTGGAAAATGAAATATCCATCCAGAAGGAATTTTGCAAATTAGTTTTCAATCCAAATGGGAAAGAAAAAAGGCAGATGAAATGTCATACGGAATAGAGCTGCCAAAATAAAAGTTTTGATTCCGAAACAATCAAAATGGTTTGATTCAATAATGTCAAAACAATATGATGCCGGTATTAAATCATAAAACAGTTGCAATTAAATCAAAGTACAAAATGAAATGTTTTTACTTGATGAAATGTCACAATGATTCATTTTGACATTTTCCTGTCGCAAGTCTGGTTGAAAATCGACATGCTCCCACAAAATACCCGTAGACGTCTATGAAGCTGCGCCTTCTGGCAGGGAGCGTTTCGCTGCCCTCCTGCTTCTCATCAGCGGGGCTGGACCAAGGCTACATTTCTCTCGGGGGCTTTCATTCATCTCACCTCTCTTCCACTCCCTTCCTCTCCTGTATCCACCCAGAGCTGGGAAGATGAATCCTCTTTGTGACCCAGGCATTTTAAAATCCAGCCATCCTGTTACTCCTGCAGAGAAGTTCCCCCTTTGCCCGCCGATGCCACCTTGCAAAAAACCGGGACTAACGTTTTAATGATGCCAAACGCGCCAGACATTATTAACTCAACTCCCCTAACTTTGCTACCATGTGCTTTTGAACAAGTAAATCCTTTCTCCTTTGCTTCAAGCTCCTTTGAAGTAGAGCACCTTTGGGTCCCCCATGGACCACAATCACCCGTTAAATGACCCTTTCTCAGGCCAAGTGTTTGATGGAGCGGAGAAGGTTCCCCCATGGCCTATACTCCATAGGACAACACTGACAGAAATCTGCTAGGCTCCCCCACTGTACAGAAATCCCAGTGAAGTCTGCAATGCTTCCAAGCATCAGATTTTGGTCTCTCCAAGCAGAAGCAGGAGGCACAGAGAAACCATCCGTGAGGAAAGGGAAGCATCGGCAGCATTGCAATGGGCCAAGGGGATTGCAAGGATGCTGACAGCAAAGAGAAATCAGGGACAAGAGACGGGTCCGGCAGGACGGAGCTTAGCAAAGAAGAAGCCAAGCAGCTCTCGTCCACTTTCTCCCGTGCTTGAGAAAGCAATGCAGGATGCACAGAGCAGGATTACCAGGGAGAGGGGAGGAAATAACTTGGCAGCGCTGTGAGAGGCCCGCGAAGGTGCATTACAAGGAGGAGGCACACATCCCAAAACCAAGCAACGAGCAGCAGACACCATTGACGAATCCCCCCACAAGGGCCAGGTCCTCCTGGCTTTGGTGGAGCCCTGCACCGAGGGCCTGGCACTCCCTGCTCAGGTTTTGCAGGCTAATTAATGCTTGCGTGTTTGCAAGATGAGGCGTGTTCGGAGTGCAACACGCACACTGCAAGAAGTAACACGTCCAGCTGTTTTACAGTGTTGGTGGAAACCAAATAGCCAGAGATGCCTAATGCCAGCTGGAACCACGTGGGGGGCAACGTTTTAGCTTTTCAGATAAAGCGTGCGGGTCTATGCAAGGATGTTTGTTGTAGCCGTGGCAGTCTAAAGGCACAGGCACACAAAACTCTTGGGGTAAAGACGATATCTTTTATTAGACGACCTAGATAGTTGCAAAATTTTATTATTATTATTATTTGCAAGACACCCTTCATCAGGCAAATAGGTGAACAGCCTGATTCAGCCTTTGTCTGAGCCTAATCTGCAGCTTTTTTTTACAAATGAACTTTTCTACCCAGGAGAACCATACCATCTTTTAGGTCTCCTGCACAATATGAAGTTTCGTTTCTACCCGGAAGAAATTTTACAATCTTTGAATTCTCCTTTGCCTGACAAAGAGCGTTTGGGCCCAAAAGCTTGCAAATCAAAGACAAAAAAATGTGCAGCTATCTAGTTGGTCTAATAAAAGATATCGCCTCTACCCCAAGGGTTTTGCCTGCCAGGATCGATGCAAAACCGTCACTGCATCTTTCCGAGGGTGTGGATTTCTTCCCCCTACAAATAGGAGTCACCTGAAGGCCAGGTAGAAAAAGGAGAAGACCGATCGTCCCGTGCCCGTGTGTACGGCTCCGTGTGAAGGATCCCTCCATTGCTTCCCCTCGAGTCACAGCAGTGCCGCCCTACTTCCTCCCTCCTCCCCACAACCCTCCTAGTTAATGAATCACTCACTCGGTGGGATTTCCTTGAAATGCTAAAGGAGGAGTCTGTCTCGTAGAGGAAATAAGTAGTTACAATAACAAGCCATTTACCGTCTGAGCGTTACACATACTGTATCATCTTATTTGTGTTTCACCGTTAATCTCCTCGCTCACAAAAGTTTTATCGGATTGGAGGCATGTGCTGTATACCCCTTTATAAAATTTTACAGTCCCTTGCTATTCTCAGGGCTTGTTTTATAGGCACAATTTGCTGCTTTAATCTCACCCAATTGTCATGTTCTAAATCATGGTGTATAAAAATGTCTTTAAAGGAGAGATGCGCTGAAGGGTAGTACTTAATTACACTTACTGCCTGATTTAAATGTTATCTGAGCTTTGCCAAGTGCCAGACACAGAGTAACCCAGCAGCGCAAATCTGCATAAACCGCTACAAGCCATTATTGGGTTTTTAATAGCAATCAAGTTGCTCTTGTGTAGCATCCTGATGAAGGTGTGTCCCTTCTCCTCCCACCTGTGTTTGCGTACAAACGCGCGGGGAGCTCAATATAACTAGGTCTTCCCGCTCGCTTGGTTTTCTCCAGTCTCTTTGGGGATCCCCTCTCTCAAGGATTTTGCTGGTCTGCTTTGCTATTCTAGTTTGCCTTAGTAACGACGAGGAGCGGCGCGGGCAGCCGCAGCGGGGAGCACGCAGGAAGTCCTTGCATCCAGATGTACTTGTGCACTCATTCAAAATGAGCAGCTCTTTAAAAATAAACTGCATTTCCAAGTCCTCACTCCTTCTGCTGGGCACCTGACACTGCTCACCTGGGAGAGGGGGAATCGCAAGTCAAGGCCCTGCTTCAGCACCGAGTCATTTCAATTTTGGTTCAACATACAGCAAGGACCTTTGTGGGTGATACCTTGTATTGGACCAACTGCGTGGTTGGGATAAAGTTCGACAAGTTTGCAAATGCAAGGCATTTTTCATCGGTATCACCCCGGATAGATGCTTGGCTGGGGCGGTTTAGCAGGGATCATCCTGCCTTGAGCAGGGGGCTGGACTAGATGACCTAGATGATCCTACTTTCCTATGATCCTAAAAATCTTGCTGGGACCATCCCCAGTCAGCCCCTGGTTCAGGGGTACTCGGGTTGAGTTAGAGCCCAATTTACATCGAGTGGCCTTCCCCCTTCAAGCCAAAGCTGTAGCTTCCTGTCAATAAAAAGACGCCAGCCTTAAAGGCTGTCAAGGCAGTACTAATGAGGCTCAAATCTTCCAGCGAAGCTCAAAACAGACCTGGCAACCCAACCCATAAGGCACAAATGCTTAAACCCAAAGCATTACAGAGTGGAAGGAAAGAAGCTACTTAACCCAAGTTTATAAGGTTTG